GAGGGCAAGTGCGTGCGGACACGGGCTGGGCCCCGGCGCCCCGAGAGCCCGGTCTGGCCTGACTCCACCCGGGACCTGACCCTTGCGCCGCCGGCCCATGCCCACGGGGCCGCCTTCGTCCTCTTGCAGCGGGCTGGGCTGGGCTCCCCAGCCATGCCCTAGGCGGAACAGCAGCCCCGACCTGAGCCCTCACCCGGAGGGCACGGTGGTGCCTCTCTCTCCTCGGTGGGACCGTGCACTCTCGCAGCAGACACATGCAGGGCCGCTGTAGGCCTCCCTTGGGAACTCGGCCGCCGCGGCGGAGGCCGAATTGGGCTTGCCCCGCCCCAGGAGACAGGGACTGGACGGCGGGCCCCGCTGGGGACGCGAGTGGGACCTGCAGGGCAGGCTGAGTGTTGGACCTGGTGGGTGGGGTAGAGGCCGCAGGGCTGTTCTGACCGTCGCGCGGCTCCTGGGCCCTATGCCTTCCTGCCCATGGGGAGGCCAGGGCACCCCGCTGTCCCCTGGGCTCTGCTGGGAGAGTATAGAGTCTGTGACACACCTGGAAACCCAGACCTGGACAGGGGCGCAGCGAGTAAGAGTAAGGTCTGTTACCAGCGATGCAAATCCGCCAACAATGTGCATAATAAAAAACTACAAGCTGGAAGCAGCAGTGGGTAATGAACAAAGGTGGGCAGTGACAGGAAAACTTCCAATTGATCGAGGGGCACAGGTGCAGGCAGGCCTACTGGGCAGAAAGGAGAAGGGCCGGGCAGGGTCAGGCTAGCCACATGGGTGCTAGTACTAGCAGGGTCCTCATCGTCATCCGAGGTCAGAGACCCAACGCCCTCCTCCCAGGTCCTGCTCCCCACGCCTGGCCCTAGGGATCACCCATCCTGTTTGGGCAGGTGAGAGTATGTGCAGTCCCTGTCTTCCTTGTGCTTTATTTTGCTTCGTGTGAGTCAGCTGGCCCACCTATATTCCTATCTATGCAGGACATCCTTTGTGCCTCTTGGGGCACCCAGGGTGGGGTGAGGGATACGGGAGTGGGGAAGGTAGGGGGTGGATTGGAGGGGCAGCACTCTTGTGGCGTTCCCAGCACCCTCTGTAGTGGCTGTGTTTATTCCCATCCACCCATGCTGTGCAGTATTCCTTTTCCTGCCCTCCCTCTCTCCTTTAGATAAGAGCCGTTTGAACTGAATCCTTTATCTCACTGTCATTTTGATTTGCATCTCCTTGAGGCCTAATGATATTGAGTACTTTTCATATATTCATTAGCCACTTGTAACTCATCTTATGAGAAGTACTTATTCAGATCGTTTTTTAAATTGCATTTCTTGTTTCAATGGATGTTGGGGTTTTGGAGTTCTTAATATATTCTGGGGATTGATCCCCTATCAGTGAACAGCTGGCCAAGGTTTTCTGCCAGGCAGTAAGTTGCTCCTTGATGCTGTGCTGACACTTTGCCATCTGAGGTATTCCCCCACCCCCATGTTTGCTTTGTTTTCTTGTGGTACTGGGGATCTAACTCAGAACCTTGCACTTGCCAGGCAGGCCCTCAGTGTTCATCACCGATGTGGTGGCAAACCTGTGGCACCTGTGGTGCAGTGGGCTGTTTTGTTATCACTGGAGGTTCTAAAAGGTTCGTCATTACTGGTGATAATATAGATCCACCCAATACTACAGTCTTTTTTGTTTGTTTTTTTTTTTGAGACAAGGTCTCACTATGCAGCCTAGGCTGGCCTTGAACCAGCAGTGAGATCCTCTTGCCTCAGCCTCCTGAGTGCTGGGATTACAAGCATGGGTTACCATGCCTGGTTAATACTAAAGTCTTAAAGTGGGTCCCCAGTGTTTTCCTCTAGTAGTTTCAGAGTTTCAGGTCCTACAGTAAAGTCTTTGGTCATTCTGAGTTGAGAAGGGTCCAGTTTCAATCTTTGGCAAGTTGCTGTGTTTTTGTTTTCCAGTACCACTGGGAGAGGCTGTGCTGTCGCCAGCCTGCGTGCTGGCAGCCAGATGTGCATGTGGGTTCTTTGTGGTGCTGCACTGGTCTGCAGGCTAGCGGCTGAGTGATGCCCTCACTAGGGGCTCCAGGGAGAGCACCGCAGATGGGACACTCATCTCACTGATGTCACTTGCAGAACAGGTGGCAGCTGGCACCGGAAGCCAGGTCCCCACTGGAAGTCCTTGCAGCTGTGGAGAGGAGCCAATGGACACTGACCATTGCCTGGGCAGCAGTGAAGTCTGAGGAGCCTGCCAAGGGTTTGGAGGAACAAGAATGCTGTGGTTTGGGCCTGAATGCTGGGAATGTAAGGAAGCTGGTTTCCAGGGTAGGCTGGGGAAAGAGGCTGGGTGATGGCAGTCTCGTTTTTTTAGAAATGCCCACCCTCCAGGAGCAGCAGCCCTGCGAGGAGACAGCACACTGGAGGCGGACAGCAGAGGTCCACTGGCAGGGTGGAGTGGAGTGCTGGACACAGGTGGCACAGGGAGCCCTGGGATCTTCAGACACCTTGGAGGAGGGGTGCAGTGGCTGTGACTGCTGCTGCTTCCAGGGCACAGTGGGATGCCTGCCATAGGAGGCCTCCGAGCAGGCCAGAGCTTTCACTGATGTGGTGGCAAAACTGTGGCACCTGCGGTGGCTGGGGGCCCTTTGGGAGAGAAGGGACTGGTGGAGGTGGAGGTGGCTTGGGCCTTGGTGATACCAGTCAGGCCCAGAGGAGGGATAGCACAGCTATAGAGAGGGGCAGACTTGGAATGCCCAGCAGGATCCTGGCTTCTAACCCTGCGTGCACCAGGGAAGAGAGGTGCCTAGCACAGCAGCTTATTTTTTTTTTTTCAAAGTTTTATTGACAAACAGATAGCAATGAGACAGTTTCAAATCAAATCGGAAGGACAGTTTCAACAAATAATACACTGCATATATTCTTCTCAGTGGCTAATTGCTGTAACAGCAGCTTGTTTTGCCTTCACCTTGCCAGGCTGTGGTAACCAGGCTTGACGGAAATGCCAGGCGGAAGTTGCTGGGAGGTGTGCTGACATCAGATGCCATACGTGCTAAGTCCATGGACGCTGATGCTGTGCCCAGCCCTGAGCTCCAGCCGTGGCACAACTGTGCTCCGTGTCCAGCAAGTGGCTCCTGTCACATGGGTGAGCTGCAGTCCACTATGGTCACAGTCTCCTGAGGAAGAGGGAGTCTACGCAGCCCACCCTGCAGATTTTGGGAGTTGTTCCTTAAGCTAAGGCAACCAAGCTTCTTCCAAGCCCTCTCCTAGTGTCGCAGTGTGTATCTAGATGGCCCCCAGAGCCTCCACACTCCCAGGTGGGCTTGTGGGGAACAGGATTGGATTGTGAGCACTGTTAGAGACTCACGGTTCGGAGGCGGAGTCTGGTTGAAGGTTGGGATCTCTGGAGGTGTGGCCTGGAGGCTTTCTCCCTCCTCCCTCCTCCCTCCTCCCTCCACTTTGTCCACCTCTCCGTCCTTGTTTCCATCCGCCAGATGGTGGCAGCTCTCCAGCGATCCTCCACCAGATGTCCTGCCTTGCAGACCCATACCAGCGGCTGGGTGTGAGTCAAGGTAACCCATTTATTTATTTATTTATTTATTTATTTATTTATTTATTTATTTATGGTAACCCTTATCTGCTTGGAGATGTGTGTGGGCTGTGTCTCAGTGACAGAAAGTAAACGCGGCACCCACTTTGCTCAGCTCCTGCCAGACCCCTGCCTGAGTGCAGAGCTCACTAGGTCCTGGCCTTCTGGCTTTGCTTCCAGACTGTAATTTGTAGCTCAGAGAATGAAGACCTGTTCTTTGGCTCCCATGTTGTGTGACTTACTTGCTGTTCAGGGATTGCTTCCTGAGTTCTTGGAAGCTG